GGGGTTTTTAATAGTTTTTTGCTTTTTTCTTCACTATGTTGAGCTAAATACGTTAAAGCACTAAGATCCAGATAGATCAAGTTCATCATACCAATAAACAAATGAGATTCTTATGCAGAATCCTCTCACATGGCTTCATCCCACACAGACACCGTATAGTACTTTCAGGTAGTCATTAATGACTATTGCTTGGAAGTGATTATACATTTATACAGCAAGTCATACACTCACCTTCAGAGTTATTTACTCTTACCTATGGGACATTCAAAGCAGTGTGCTGACTGACAAACAAGTAAATCCAATCTAAAAAAAAAACTATAAATCACCTGGATTGATCTGAAATCAAGGAATGTCCTGAGCCTCTTGCAGGCCAGCTTCTAGTTAAGCCAAGTTAAGATTCTAGTTTGAGCTAAACCTCTACTCGGAGATGGACAAAAGATAGCTAGGAGCTGAGCTTGGGCTGTTTTCTTATATACTGGTGATGTTCAGCTAAAGCGTTTCATCTCCTTGTGATGCAGTACTTCAACCAAACATTCAGATTTGCTGATCTTGTTTTTAACTAAACAGCCCTCAGTTCATTAATTATCATGATGGGGACAAAAATGAAGAGGGTTTACTAGATAAAAGAGCTCAAAGTGGATTCAAATTCAGAACCTGCTCCTAAGAAACCCATGCACAAAATACCTATTTTTGCCCCTGACTGAAGGAAAACAACCTCGAAATCACGGAATCCCAGCACAAGCCATCCAGGAGATTCCTCGACTGTGTGGAAGACAACTTCCTTCTGCAAGTAATAGAGGAGCCGACAAGGAGAGGTGCCATGCTTGCCCTCGTGCTCACCAACAGGGAAGGGCTCATTGGAAATGTGACGCTCCAGGGCAGCCTTGGTTGCAGTGATCATGAGATGCTCGAATTTGAGATCCTCAGGACACTGAGGAGAGCATGCAGCAAGCTCACTGCCCTGGACTTCAAGAGAGCAGACTTTGGCCTCTTCAGGAACCTGCTTCGGAAGGTTCCATGGGATACAGCCCTAGAGGGCAGGGGGGCCCAGGACTGTTGGTTCATATTCAAGGATCACCTGCTGCAAGCTCAGGAGTGTTGCGTCCCAACTAGAAGGAAGTGCAGCAGGAGGGCCAGGAGACCTCCTGGGATGGATAAGGAGCTCCTGAGGAAAATTCAATTGAAAAAAGAGGCTTATAATAAGTGGAAGCAAGGACAGGCGGCCTGGGAAGAATACAGGGATGTTGTCTGGGATGCTAGGGACCAGGTCAGGAAAGCTAAGGCCCAGTTAGAATTAAACTTGGCTAGGGATATTAACAGGAAGGGATTCTACAGGTACATAGCAAATAAAAAACAGACTAGGGAGAATGTAGGCCCCCTCAGGAAGCTCTCAGGAGAACTGGCTACACAGGATTTGGAGAAGGCTGAGGTTCTGAATGACTTCTTTGCCTCAGTCTTCACTGGCAAAGGCTCTGAGCACACCACCCAAGTCTTGCAAGGCAGATGCAGGGACTGTGAGAATGAAGACCTTGGGCCTGCTCTAGGAGAGGATTTGGTCTGAGACTATCTTAAGAACCTGAACATGCACAACTCCATGGGACCTGATGAAATCCATCTGCAGGTCCTGAAGGAGCTGGCAAATGAAGTTGCTAAGCCACTGTCCATCATATTTGAGAACTCATGGCAGTCAGGTGAAGTTCCCGATGACTGGAAAAAGGGAAATATAACCTCCATTTTCAAGAAGGGGAAAATGGATGACCCGGGGAATTACAGAGCAGTCACTCTCACCTCTGTGCCTGGCAACATCTTGGAGCAGATTCTCCTGGAAGGCATGCTAAGGCACATGAAAATCAACAAGGTGCTTGGTGACAGCCAGCATGGCTTCACTGAGGGGAAATCCTGCCTGACCAATTTGGTGGCCTTCTATGATGGGGCTACAGAACTGATGGACAGGGGTAGAGCAGTTGATGTCATCTACCTGGACCTGTGCAAAGCGTTCGACACTGTCCCACACGACATCCTTGTCTCTAAATTGGAGCGACATCAATTTGATGGATGGAGCACTGGGTGGATAAAGAACTGGCTGGATGGCCACACACAAAGAGTTGTGGTCAATGGCTCAATGTCCGGCTGGAGACCAGTAACGAGTGGTGTCCCTCAGGGATTTTTGTTGGGACCGATCTTGTTCAACATGTTCATCGGTGACATGGACAGTGGGATTGAGCGCGCCCTCAGCAAGTTTGCAATGACACCAAGCTGTGTGGTTCGGTTGATACCCTGGAGGGAAGGAATGCCATCCAGAGGGACCTCGACACGCTTGTGAGGTGGGCTGATGCCAAACTCATGGAGTTTAACCATGCCAAGTGCAAGGTCCTGCACCTGGGTGGGAGCAATCCCAGGCACAGCTACAGGTTGGGCAGAGAAGAGATTCAGAGCAGCCCAAGGAGAAGGACTTGGGGGTGTTGGTTGATGAGAAAATGAACATGAGCCGGCTTCAATGTGCGCTCGCAGCCCAGAAACCAACCGTGTCCTGGGCTGCATCAAAAGGAGCGTGGCCAGCAGGTCCAAGGAGGTGATCCTGCCCCTCTACTCTGCCCTTGTGAGACCTCACCTGGAGCATTGTGTGGCGTTCTGGTGTCCTCAACATAAAAAGGACATGGAACTGTTGGAACAAGTCCAGAGGAGGCCACGAGGATGATCAGGGACTGGAGCACCTCCTGTATGAAAACAGGCTGAGAAAGTTGGGGCTGTTCCACCTGGAGAAGAGAAGGCTGCGTGGAGACCTCATAGCAGCCTTCCAGTATCTGAAAGGGGGCCTATAGGGATGCTGGGGAGGGACTCTTCATTAGGGACTGTAGTGACAGGACAAGGGGTAACGGGTTAAAACTTAAACAGGGGAAGTTTAGATTGGATATAAGGAGGAAATTCTTTCCTGTTAGGGTGGTGAGGCACTGGAATGGGTTGCCCAGGGAGGTTGTGAATGCTCCATCCCTGGCAGTGTTCAAGGCCAGGCTGGACAAGGCCTTGGGTGATATGGTTTAGTGTGAGGTGTCCCTGCCCATGGCAGGGTATTTGGAACTTGATGATCTTAAGGTCCTTTCCAACCCTAACTGTTCTATGATTCTATGATTGCTGGAAAGGGAGAATTATCATTTCTGTAGTGAAAGGCTGGGTCAGGACGTTTCCTGCTGCTTTCAAGACAGCAGGAATTGGACAGCTGTCAGGCTGGATACTGAGTTTGTCTTGGGTGTCGGAGTTGCATGTATGTGTTTATGACCAGCACTGCCCAGGGATGGTATTTCATTTCCCCTGGAGTTAGGAGGTGTGCAGGAAACAGAGCCAGAGTGCAGGCACTGGAAAAAATGCCTGAGGACGAAGGTCCTGAAAACCTCCTGCAGGTCCGTTCATGCCAACCCCACCAGAGACGTCTGGCAGCACTGGATAGCTCATTTTACAGCGAACATTCCACACTGCAGAGCTGGGTGACGGGCAGGAAATGAAAGACTTTATTTTACAGTCACGGTGTATATTTATTTATGAACAGGCACAAGTTAACTTCCAGGTAGCAGCTGAATTCTGGTATCCTCTAACATGCATGTAAATGCTTGTTTAAAATTTCAATAGTGAACTACATTGCAGTGAAAAACCACAAAGCCACAGCAAAATTTCCTCTCCTTAAGAAAAACACACGGGTATTTCCACAGTTACATGCAGCTCACAGGAAGAGAGAGGTTCTGCAGCCTTGTTAATACATTCTTCCTTTAAAGGACAAGAAGTAATCCTTGAGAAGACTTCAGAGTAAGCTTTCCAAATACAGATGCTTCAGGAAGGAAAGGTGATAAACCAGAGATGGTATCCACATGAGAATTTTTGTGTAAGGTTCTGGATGAAAAGTAAAAAGAAATCCTTTTATGACTGGTTTCAGAATGACACCCAACAAAACACTGCTCCAGGCAGATGCAGAACCCCACAGTGGGGCAGCTGGGCTCCCTCATCCTGCACGAGGGGGACAGCATGGGGAGCAAAGCTCTGCTGGACCTCCTGAGCAGGGACTGAGGACAGGGCAAAGCAAGGGTCTCTTGGTATGGGGTGAAGGTGTTTGTGGTACGTGTTTTGGGGCAGGGGGGAACAGGCGATGAAGAGACAGCGGTTCCTGTTTCTGTGCAATGGGTTGGTGAATAAACCACCGGTTGAGGGTTTAGACTTCTGTTGAGTTGTGAAGGGTGGCTTCAACGGAGACTGCTGCTGAAGCACAGCTCCACACACTTCCAGGACAGAGCTGACGCCTAAATCCTGCTTCTGGACCACAGCTTGGGATGGATCAAACACCCCAGATCGCTGTGATTGATCTACAGTTACACTTTATCAGCCAGAAGGAAGGGTGGATGGATGGCTGCTCCATCACAAGCGGGCTCCCCCGGCTGCCCACAGAGCTCCACAACCCTCATAGCATAGCATTAAGTGCCAGCCTGTGATTGCACTGATGAGGAAACGCTTCCCGAGGACTGAGGTTAGCTGTGGAGTTACTAGAGTCCCGGCACCGGCAAATAAGAGGCTCCATTTCCTAAACTTGTGGTGCGCAGTGACGAGAGCAGCTCAGGGGAAACGGCGGACAACCTGCCGCTGCCGGCCCTGTCACTCACACCGCACCCTGTGGTGCCCGTACCCGCGCAGCCGCCCACGGGGCGAGCTCCGTGGCGGCACTGCCCGGGCACCGCGGGGCCGCCCAGCCCCGTCCCGGCCCTGGGTCCCCCTGCGGGCCCCGCTGCAGGCGCTGCCGGGCACTGACGGAGCAACGGCCCCGCGGCCGCCTCACGGCTGCCTCTGCCCGCCCGCGCGCAGCGGGGACGCGCCCCGATTGGCTGGCGGGGCCGTGGGGTGACGCGCGGGCGGGGCCGCCGCGTTGCACGCCGGGAGCTGTAGGCGGGGCGCGGCGGGCTCGGACTGCGGCTCCCGGCGGGCTTTGCGCCGCCCCGTGACGGGCTGGGGCTGGGGGTGGTGTCCGCGCTGCTGCGGCGCGGAGCGGGCGCCGCCGCGGCCCCATTGTGTGGCGCGGCCGCGGCTGCCCGGAGCCCGCCGCCATCTTGTGCCGTAGCGGTGAGCGCCGCGTCCGGGCCTCCGCCGGGGGCCCGAGCCGCCCTCCGCGCCCAGGCCCCGAACCGGGCCGCGCTCCCCCGGCTGCCGCCGTGCCCCGAGGCGGCGGGCAGGGCTCCTGGCGCGGCGCGGCGACCCCGGGGCTGATGCCCGGCACCTCGCCGCCAGGCCAGGCGTGAGGGCCGCCGCCGGTCCGCGGCGCCTCCCGGCCCTTTTGCCCTCCCAGGCCCTTGTCCCCTCCCCGGCCCTTTAGCCGATGCCGCCGCTGGACGAGCCCTTGCCCAGGCCGCGGGCGTAGCGGTGGGGGCTGCCCACGCCGCTCTTGAGGAGGCGGGCGCCCGCCGCCCCTCGGCCGCGGATCAGGAGAGCGAGGCCCGGCCCCGAGGAGCGGCCGCCGCTTCCCGCCCCATCAGGCGAGGGGCAGGACACCCACCCCCGAGCCCCTCCCGCCCCAGCCGGCCGGCGAACCGTGCCGCCGCCGCACCGCCATGAAGATCAAGGACGCCAAGAAGCCGTGTAAGGCCGCGGGCTGTGGCGGGGCGGGGGGCGGTGTGTGTGTGTGTGTGTGTGTGTGTGTGTGTGTGTGTGTGTGTGTGTGTGTGTGTGTGTGTTTGTAACCGGGTGCGGGGCCGGCTGGGCGGCTGGCTCCCGGCCGTGGGCTCGAAAGCTGTCGCCTAGGCGCTTCCCGCCCCTGTGCGTCCCTTTCTAGTGGGGCCTCGCAGCGGTTCGGCGCTGTTCAGCGCTGGCGTTGGAGGAACAGAAAGTCACACAACCTGTTCTGGGGATGGGTGCTGCCTTTGATGGAGAGGGCGCTTGGTCAGCTCCCTGAGCACCTGCACTGGCGGCTGGAGCTGCCGCAGGTTGTTCTAAGGGCTAGTGAAAACCAAATATTAGGAATAATTGTGAATAACCGGGTACGAGTTTTTCATTAAAATACCCTGAATTCGCCCGTTTAACAAGCACAACTGTAACCCTATTGCTTACTGTTTATGATTTTGGAATACCCTGTTTGTTTTGGCAGGCACACACGTGGTTCAGACTCAGGTGAATGCAAACAGAATGTCTAATACTACTGGTACGGTTCTGTGGGGAGGGAGAATTGGATTGAGTAAAGTTAGCCTACGTACAAACTGTTTTCCCAGTGTAACAGATACACAGCAGCGCAAGTCAACACAGCTGTCAAGCTTACTCAAGTGTAACTAGCAGAAAGGGATGCTCCACTGAGTTAGGCCATCTTTATTTTGTCATCATACTTAAAGGCTTATTTTCAGGGTGAGTTACCATATGGAAAAGATGGCTAGTCCGGAAGAGCTGGGCCTGCTGTTATTCTCAGTCATCTGACATGCCTGACTTATGAAGAGCATATTGAAAGTGTAGATATTAAATACATTGTTTGAGCAGCACAAGAACAAAATCCCCAAGTGTGTCTAAGACAGGAAGTATTAGTGTAGCTCTAGAACTAGCTATAAACATTTGTTTCTTGTGGTATGTTAAAGAAACCCTAAATGTGCAGCTTCTAGCATGCAATTAGCCATCGCCTCTTATTAGTGCAGGTGTGTGGAAATTCCCAAGTTGACTGTAATCATGATTATGAAGAGGACAGTTCAGACAGTTTTGTTTCTCTGGTATAACACTTAACGAATTATATCAAGACTCTGAAGTAATCAAGTGGCTATAAGACATTATAGTGTTTGGTAATTCAGAATGGTAAGAGTATGGCTGTTTCTACTGTACAACCTGCTCAAGTTCAGAAGAGGCTTTGCTGGGCCTTAGAGGCTGTTTTCTGGAGTGGTGGATTTAAATAGCAGTGCCAAATGCTATCAAGAAGTTTCATCTGCTTAAATATGCTAAATTTGTAGTTGTACTCTTCCAGTTCTTGAACTTGGACTTTGCTATTGGCTTAATGATGGGAATCGGAAACAACTTGAACTGCGGAAGCAGTGAGGGGAAGGTTACGGTGTCAAACTGTGGTGTTTATTCCATCTTGACTCTTCAACATATTTTGAAGCCAGTGGCATTTTTGAAGGTAAGAGCACTTAGTACCTTAGACAATAAACCTTAAAGCCATTCTGCAGATCACTGCTCCTGGTTAGTTACACTGAAGTGGGAGAGCAGCTCAATGTTTTAAGAGGAACAGATCCACAAGAGCACTAAAAAGTCTGTGGATGTTCAGGGCCTTTGGTGCCTGAGTACTGCTGTCAATTTGGTTTATGTGCTCAAGTTGATCTAAAAGCTGAGTTGGGCTTTCAATACCACTTCTAGACTGTTTAGATATAAATTATTTAGTTTAAGACAGTTGTAGATACTTTTCAGTAAAATTGCTGAGTGGATATACATTTCTTATGTGAAGCCAGTATTTAATTCTCTGTGCTGGAGCCACATTTGATGCAGGAGAAGAAGGGTTAATCATTATTTAACAGGCAGTCTTTAGTCTGTTGTAAGAGCCTGCAAAGTGGAGTTTAGAATATAGCTTTAGCCTACATGTACTTGTATCTGTGATGCGATTTCTCGTGAAAGAAAGCATGATTGCACTGACAAAGTATCTTGTCTGTCATGAGAGAGGTGAGGGTAAAATGGAGACACCTCCACATTCAGAACTTCTGCTGTGGATACACTGCCCAGGCATGCTTGTGTGCTCCTCCCTTCCAGTCTTCACCTGGCTGATGCTGTGCCTACTTTGTTGTTGTAAAAACTGTGAGAAATGCAGCTGAATTTACGGCACAGGGCAGCTGGGGTTGCCTGTCTGAAAGAGGCTGTTTAAATTCCCTTTGCAGGTGTACTTGGTACTTAGTGTAGCAGTGGAAGCTGTAGAGGTTGTGAAGTGTCCATCTTTAGAGGATCCTTGAAAAACTTCAGAGGCCTTCAGGTATAGGCTGGACAAATCTGTAGTTGATCTCATCTCGTGTTGGCAGTTTTCCTGCTGGTGTGACAGAAGTTGGACGAGATGACCTCCAGAGGACCCTTCCAGCCAGTATTTGTGTGATAGCTCTTCTGAGGAAACAGGGAAGAATGGCTGGCAATTTTAAGAGAAACTTCCAAAGGTTACTTGGGGGTGGAGATGATAAATGTGAGAGCAGAGTGCCTTGCAGAGCTGCTGCTGCGTGGGATCTGTCTAAAGGGAAGAACAGAGCCACTTATTCAGACAGCTCTTGGTACTGGTGGGGCAGGCAAGGCACTGCTAGGAGGAGAGTGCCAGCATGCTGTGCTCCTCTGGTGAGCCCTGCAGCTTGGCTCTGGAATGGACTGCTGAGGCACAGCAGGCACTTCTCATGTTTACTGTGCCGTGTATGTTACTCTTAGTCTGGTGCTTCTAATTGTTTATTAAAGATAATTTGAGAACTAATGCAGGCCTTTCCCCTGTGGCAAATGGAGATACCTTCGTGTGTGAAAGTGTGTAAGTAGAGATTTGCGAAATGCTGTAGCAGTATAGAGAAAAGATGAAAACCTAAAGTTTATTTTCTCTAATGCGGTTTTACAGACGTATGTAGTTTTAGTGGACACACTGGTCTCATGCAGTAAAATTGGTGAAAAATATATTTAGGTTGCTGGGGAATAGCTTTTAAATTGATATTCCTGTTCACAGGACTTGCTGCTAAGTCTTGTGGTATCCTGCCATTTTCTTATTAGTCCTTGAAAGCTGAGTATTAGCCCACAGCAGATGTTCCAGGCTCTCATTTCACTGCAATTGAAAAATGTATTTCTAATAACGAGTTAATCCTGGCAGGCACAGTGTTTGAATGTGTTAGTGTTAGAGTATGCCTCTAAGCATGCTGTATCTCACTAGAATCAAAACACCTCTCCCCGAAGAGCCTCCTGCTGAATGTCGACAAAATTATCAGAATGAGCAAGGAGGGAGAAGCTGGTTTGTCTTGTGTTAGCTTTCCATGGCATCCACTTGTAGATGTGATAAACCTAATGAAGAGCAGTTACAGTAATTGCCAGTTAACACCTGACCTCCCACTGGCAGATGTGGCCCTTCTGTGGCGTGATGAGAGGTGGCCGAGTGGGCAAGTGAAGAGTTTACAGAGCTTGATGGAGAAGTCCTCCTATGGGAGGACTGGGAGCATGTAATAGTGCATGTCAGGTAGAATTAACACCCAACTTTAATGTATCCAGCCCAAATCTATTTTGAGCAGGACTTGGGATATTTGAACCAAAAGCCTGTGACAAGACTAGTAAAGCAGAGACCCTCTCCAGTGAGCTGAGGGCTGAGGACACTTGATGTGCACCTTTGCTCTGTTGAGGCTCACAGGCACACATCCGTGTAATACGGGCGCAGCAAAGGCCACTTGCTACCTGACCACAGGGTGAACCCCACTTGATGAAGCAGTTCAACATCCTTTGATGTGTTTTTACGTGGACCATCACATATGGTAGCTGCCTTAGACTGCTCACTGATTTAGGTGCTAGTTTATCGTTAAGTTTTACCCTGCTGTGTGCAGATGTTTCAGGGAATTAGCGGAAGCGTAAGGGTATGTGCGTGTACATAGAAAAGAACTCATTTGGAGAAACGGCAAGGTACATGTAGTTCATGTTTATAAACACTGTGTAAGTTATACAGTGTTCAGTATAACTTTTTTATAGTTAACTTGTTTGGTTTGTCAGTAATCAGATAAGAATGGGATCAAGGTTGTTTTGCTATCAAAGGCTACGTACCAAGCTGAATTAGAAGATAAGTTTTGTACATCAGAACTGATAATAATACATACTTTCATACAGTGATGCTGTGCTGCAGAAGTGAACTTTTATTGTCATTTTATTATTATTTTCCTTTCTTGTATTTTAAGCCAATATAGAATCATGAACTGCAGCATGCTTTGACAGTTGTTCCCAAGCTGTGTTTGTACTTCAAGTGCAACAGTCTGGAGGCTTAATAATACATAAGTATTCTTACAAAGATGACACAGAACCTGGTAGCTGATTCTCTGCTGTTACTGACAGTTCTGAGATAATACTTTTATGTTGCAAAGCTCCCTGCTTGAATTAGCAATCAGTTACTCTTCTTCAAAGGTTAGCTCTTGATAATCTGATGCAGGGTTGACCCAGACTGTTATATTATCTTACAGTAAAAGGAGGTATTTTAAAGGTGTTTGTGGTTACATTCATAGGAAAGCGTCCACTAGAAACTGTTTCTCAGTCTTTAGAAGCTAAATACAAATTGTGTTAAATGGAAGAATCTTATGCTTGACTGAAAAAGGGAAGTAGTTAAGTCTGAGTGTGTACTTCAGGCAGCCTTGGATCCAAACGGGTGTACAAAGTCAAAATACTTGTATTTGGGCTGGGTGGAGAACTTCAAAGGTCCTCTGCTCTGCTGAAGCAGAACCCATAGGAAAGGAAACCACTTCAACGTTTGTGCTTGTATTGTCACAAGAAAGACTTTTTACTGTAATTATTTCCTTTTGGCATATAAAGACCTTGTATGATAAGATAAAAGTGACCTTAAGGTTGCTGCCAGAAACTACATATGCAAAGAACTTGAGAAGTGCATACGCAAGAGAAGAAGGCCTCCCTGTGTAGCTCTAACAAGTAATTTTAACAACAACCAAGAGCCATCAGCATGGGATTTCTTCCTAGGCAGAACTGCTACATGACCACAGCACGATGTGACAGTACTCTTCCCTGCAGAAAGCACTTTTCCATGTACAGAAAGCAGTTCTAGGGAATCCTCTTAAACATCCTTATTGTTTTACCTCTGAGCAGATTGCCTCTCAAAGCCGTCTTCAGGGCATGTACAGAACAATCCGTTGCTTTATAGCAAAGATTCCTGGTTAGACTGTGTCTAATTATGGACCACAGGGGCTGGTGGCAGAGCTGGGGAGTGATGGAAAAGCTGGATTTGGAATTAAGGAGGTTGGGTATTGTGATACTTGTTTTGCTTTCCTGTTGGAGACAGTTTGATGTGTGTGAAGTATCACATTAAACCATATGGATTTTGAATCCCCAGTTTATGTTCTACTTTACGTATTTGTCTCTTCTCAGTTATGTATCCTTAAAGAGAGCCTGGTGTGACTTCCTAAAAGCAGAAAGCATGTTTTTGCAGCAGTTTTACGTAGCCTATCCAAGGCAATTTGGTTTGTTGAGTAAAAAAACTCAATTCCTGCGTATCTTCTTTCAAATTGCAGCTGACCTCTGCGGAGAGGAGCTGATCTTCGGAAAGACAGGGCACTGCATTTGTTGTGTCAAGAGCAGTTAAATTCTCAGCAAGGAATACTTCTGAGCTGTGCATCACCTGTTGTAGTGTGTTATTCCTAGGAATAACAACAGTTATAAAGAGGGAGAGCTGAGAAAAGTCTTTTAATGACCAAATTCCTTTGGAGCTCTGGGAAAGGCCCAGTTTAATGAAGGTGGATTGACTCTCCTTATGAACTGAAGCTGTGGAATGGTGGTTACCGTTGCGCAAGTCCTCAGACCTGGTGTCTGCAGAGCTATAAGCTTGGGACAAAGGTTCTGCACTTGGTTTTGGTCTCATGCAGGCATGTTTCTTTAACTGGGACTGCCATAAGCATCAAGCTGAAGTCTGGGGATGTTTTTTTCCAAAAGGTTGTGCTGCTGTCATTCTGCTAAATCTCTCACTCGGTGAAGCATGACCCACAGATATAAGTGTAAAATACTTTTAGTAGAATTATTTAGGTATTCTCAGCCCAAGGTACACGCCATGCTATTTTTGTCTTCCTCCAAGGCAGCTTTCAAATACAAAATTGCCTCAGAATTAATTTTTTCATGGATTCGAGAGACTGTACCAGCTACAGATGCTGCAGATATCATGTGTAAAAGTGAAAACTCTTGTGCTTTGAACATGCCGTAAAAAGTAGCAACATCACCTTAAGCACACACCCCCTGTCACAGCACTTCACACTAGAACATGTCACCCAAGGCTCTGGCCAACCTGGTATTGAACATTGCCAGGGATGGAGCATTTACCACTTCTCTGGGCAACCTGTGCCAGTGCCTCACCACCCTCACAGTAAACCTTATCTCTTAACCTGAACTTCCTTTGATTTAGTTTGAACCTGTCACCCCGTCTCCTAATGCTACAGTCCCTGATGAAGAGTCTCTCTCCAGCATCTTTATAGCCCCCCTTCAGACACTGGAAGCTGCTCTGAGGTTTCCATACAGCATCTCTTCTCCAGGCTGAACAGCCCCAACTTTCTCAGCCTGCCTTTGTGTGGGAGGTGCTCCAGCCCCTGATCATCCTCGTGGCCTCCTCGGGAAGTGCACACAGAGTATTCCAAGTGGGGTCTCACCAGAGCAGAGTAGAACTGGATGATCTTAAGGTCCTTTCCAACCCTAACCATTCTATGATTCTATAAGCAGTGTGCTCATATATGTGTTGTAAAGCGATGCACCGGTTCCTTGGATGTATGGCATGACTTAAAGTGGGTGTGTCGTCTTCAGCCAAGCTGCTGGAGGGGAGGACTCGTAGGAGACTCGGGCGTGCTCTCAGTATATTTTCTGAGTAGTCCTCTGTCCTCAGTCTGTCAGGGGCCTTATTTTAACCCTGCAAATGAAATCACTTTCAGTAACTGGAAGAGGAGCTGATGTTTTCGCATGGGTTCCTGTTTTCTCCGTTCCCCCTTGCATCCAGATGGGGTGGATCCTGAGCCAAGATCCACCCAAAGGCTGCAGCAGTAGTAGGAGAGTTCACAAGTTTTCCATGTTGCGTCCACATACAATTACATTCTAGCTCTCTAGAATCAGTGTATTTCTAGTATTTAAAGTAAGTGGAGCATGGATACATCTTCTATCCCTGTAGTACCGAAATTGTAGCCACTGTTCAAGTGATTATGTACTTACCATCTCAATGTATGTGTATCCCCTTCTCTGTCTGGAAAACAAAGTGGTTTTATTTTTTCTGGCTGTATCTGTATACAAATCAGTCAGGAGTGGCTTATGTACACAGGAATCCTTATAGAATATCTTCCTCTGGGTTGCCTATATAAGGAGTAAGTCGGTAGTCTGTGTGCCCAGAACTCCTCCACTTTGCAAATGAAAGTTGAGCAATGTACTTACCAGCCAAGTCTTGACAGATTTTCAGTAGAAAAATGGGAAACTTCTTGGGGTTTGGCACAGAGGTGAAAACTGACCTATTTCTTCTGTTTCAAAATCCTTAAACTGCTGTTAAGAACATTCAGTTATCACAGCAAACTGGTATTGTACAGGATCCATTTTCAGCATAAAACATGTTCTCATTTGAGTAAAGGAATAAAGTTCCTTACAGTTCAACTGTTCTTGTTTTTTACTTTCAATACAAGATTTATAAACCTGAAGGTTTTCAGAGATGTGACTAATGCTACATTTGCAAACCCTTTTGGATCATTTCACATGGAATGCAGTGGATCGTCTGACAAGCAGGCATGATTTGCACCATGTCTTCTTTAAGCTCATCACTTCAACTTTGAGCTGCTTTTTCCTTCCTCCTTGTTGTGGAAGACCAGATCCTAGTTACTCAGTATGCCCACTAAGCAGGAAGAATCCCAAGTATTTTAGGTAATTCTTGCCTTGCTGTGTCCTAGTTAGATTCTGACTGACTCCTACAGACACTTTCTGTTCTGCTGGATGAATCAGCTTCTCTTCTTCTGTTTTGGTCTTGTGACATTGCTTATGACAAGGGGCTGAAACTTGGTGAGATGGCTTCATAAATTACCAGTTAGTTGTGGTTAGACAGTGAGATGACAGATGTTCTGATGGGCACAGTCCTGGTGCAGAGGAGTCGGTTTGCCGCTGTTAATTCATGTGTGACTTCATGCTTAGTCTGACACTATATAGAACCGTTTGCTTTAACTTTTGCACTCCTGTTGTAAATGAACACAGCCAGACTTGACTCAACATGTTAAAGCATTTTGGTAGGCCCTTCTTCTCAAGGATAGGTCCCACTGGTAATGTAAATCCAACAGTTACATCTTTTTCATGATGACTATGTTAATATCTTTTTGATTTTGTTCCTGAGCTTCATGCTTCTATAGTATATGAATTGCATATGAAAAAAATAAATTGGAATTCTGCAACCAAAAAAAAATAAATTGAAATTCTGCAACCAACCAAACCACCCAGCAAGTTATAGTAGCAATTAGGAAATAAAAACACAAGCTTCCCAGGTGGATGCTCAGGATCTTATTTAAACTCACAAATTCAGTTTTAAACCCTCTTTCTGGGAGCTGACAGTGGGGAAACTCTCAGATGAAAATGGTGTCTGAGTCTCTGTTTCACCATACATAATAAGAAGATTTATTGATACAGGCATATTCAGATCATGGTCCTAGATGACATAACCCATATAAACCCTGTTAAGAATTGCATTCATCCCACAAAACTGACAAAGTACTTGTGGCTTTGTGTTGGTTTGTAGTACAAAAATTCTGCCTTCCTATCCAAGCTACAAAAAAAGAAAATTGGACCCTAGATTCATTAATCCTGATTTTCTGTGTGCTACCAGCTGTGTGTAACCTGCTTTCTCTCCAGTATGCATTGCAAGTCTTTGTGCTAAACTGTGTCAAAACTTATTTGAGGAGTGAAGGTTATTGTAATCCTTTATTCTCTGTTTGTATGAAAGATATGGGGTACTTTGGGGAGCTTTTAGTTGGGCTTTCTGAGTACATGTGACAGCATTTCAGTGTTGCTCATTTTTCCGTTTTTACCTGCAGCCGTTGGGAATTTCAGTCATGTAGTGGAAATAGAACTAATTCTGTGTTCCTGTGGAGGTTTGTTGTTAATGTCTTTGTTGAAAAGTGTAGCATTGGTTTAGTCTTAAGTTAGGTGCTTTTGCTCTTTAGCAGAGCTAATCGACCCATTCTTGTATCTTCACAGCTTTCCCATGGTTTGGCATGGACATTGGGGGAACTTTGGTGAAACTTGCGTATTTTGAACCTATTGATATCACTGCAGAGGAGGAGCAGGAGGAAGTTGAAAGCTTGAAGAGCATCCGCAAATACCTGACTTCCAACGTAGCCTATGGATCCACCGGCATTCGAGATGTCCACCTTGAGCTGAAAGACTTAACGATTTTTGCTCGAAGAGGAAATTTGCACTTTATTAGATTCCCAACTCAAGATTTGCCTACTTTTATCCAAATGGGAAGAAATAAGAACTTTTCCACACTACACACGGTGCTGTGTGCCACCGGTGGTGGCGCTTACAAGTTTGAGGAAGACTTTCGCACAGTAGGTAGCCTGTCTTTCCTTTTCCTGAAGCTGCTGCTGAAAGCACTGCTGGGCATGGTTAAAATAAGCAGTATGCTGAAAAAATGGAATGCTCAAATATTATTAGTTACTCATTTGTTTTCCAGTCTGAAGTATGATAATCTAGAAATATGCTTTCTGACCATAATAAACACAAAGATCTGATGCTAACAGTCTATTAGAAACTTCCACGAATGCAGTGAAATGCAGGATCCTCTGGAAGTTAACTGGGATTTTTGATGGGAAATGGGCTTAGACTGGTGAGGTGCTTGGCTCACTGTGGATTTTCTTTCCTAAGCAGTCTTTGCTGATAGGTTTTCAGTGTTTGTGGGTGGGATTATCCTCATTAATTTAGACCAGTGCAGTTTTCAGAGGTCTGGGACAAAATGCCTGTCTCAAAGACAGTCTTTTTTCAGCTGCAGAGTGGTTTGGGGTTTTCCTGAGGTGATTTGACTTCTCTTGATGATCATAAGTGATCATTTGGTTAGATGCAGTTTCTAGGCGAAGATAGTTGTTACCAAGACTCTTACCACAGTATGCAGTGAGCCCATGCCCTGGTTTTAAAGTGGCTGCAGAAGTCTTGTGCTTTCAGAGACAAGACAAATCAGTAGCACAAAATGTTTGGTTTCAAAAAAATCTGCTGCTATTTCTGTTCCTGTACCAGTCTTGCATTGAGGTGGTACAACTGTTTGTAGGTAGGGTCACAATTTGTACAGAACTAATTCATTATAAGTCCCCACAGAAATATTTGATGTTCAGTTCCCTGATCTGCTCAGCTGTGAGGCTTCTCAGTCGTGTCATGGCAAGAAGGGCTGAAGCACCCTGGGGGATGAGGCGAGGACTGACAGTGCTGTGGCCTGGTACTGATGTCAGTCAGCAATGTGCAGTCCAGTCTGATTGTGCAATTCCTAATCTAGCAGCTGTGGGCTGCTCTCTAAATGTGAGCTCACCTGACTCACAGAGAGACTGGGTGCTTCCCCTTAGATTAGCTGCCTAATTGCACTCTTAACTGTTGGAACTCTGTGCTGCGGTAAGGGAGAAAGTGTGAGCGCTCTCTGAAAGCTCAAGAGTTCAGCTGGTTTAAGTATCATGTGAAATTACAGCCTTCCTGGAGTCCACATCACCTGTTAAGTTGTCTTTATGCTTTAGGAGAGATCAGCAGTTTAAATATCACATGCAAAACTGAGGGGGAACCACAATGAGCCTGAAGTCCCATAGAATTTCTGCCCTGTGGTTTTCTTACCATCTTGGAGTCTTAGTGAAGTTGTAAGAATATTTAGTATGATGCCATTGAGAGTTTTGTCCGCTGACATCTTAGAAATGACTGTTTGACATCTAAGGAAACCTTGAAAAGCTGTGCAGGTGTGTGAGTTTCATCATAAGATGACACTTGGTGGGGCTTCTCGGGTGTTTGGTGACTTATTTTTATTTAGATTGACGAAAAATGTGAATTTTTCAATGGCTTAGTGTCAGAGTATCTCAGAAGTTATCTCTGGACTTACCAAAGCAGATATTTATTCTGCCTGTCTGTTATTGATTGGAGTCTCAGATCTAGATTTATAGTCAGAGTCATTTGCTAACTGATATATTCAGAATTCACCTCTGCATTTTTTGTTGGCTTTATAGTGGGATTGAAGCTCCTGAGCAGCTTCTTAAAGTTAGGCAGTACAAGTACACTCACAAATCTGTAGCATGTTTAAGCAATGTTAGAACATGTTGACACTGTCTCTTTTCTCTTTTACCACAGATTGGAAACCTCCAGCTGCACAAACTGGACGAGCTTGACTGCCTTGTAAAAGGCTTATTGTATATAGATTCTGTCAGCTTCAATGGGCAGGCAGAGTGCTATTATTTTGAAAATGCCTCAGATCCTGAGAGATGCCAAAAGATGCCTTTTAACCTGGATGATCCATACCCATTGCTGGTTGTTAACATTGGTTCAGGAGTCAGTATTTTATCGGTCCATTCCAAAGACAACTATAAAAGAGTAACTGGAACAAGGTAACTTAATGACCTAAGTTGGAGTTGTTACTCTACAGAGCAATCAGCCTTCTGTTTTCAAAGTGGTTTCTGTCCCTGGCTCCCCACACCTATCCCTTCTCTGACTCTGTAGCATGGAAAAGTATTTATCTTCAGTTTACAGCTGCATTCAGTGAAGTCAGAAGCCCATTCCCATAGTTCTGTTATTGAAGAGATTTGGCAAGTATCTTGTCAGATGATGAGTGTTGGACATGCTCTGTAGTGAGAGCTTTACAGGTTTTCTCCCAGGTTTTGAGAATGTACCTGGTGAACCTGTCTTTCTCTTGCTTCATAAGAATAAATATGTCTACACGTGTTTTACAGTTAATGATCAAGGATCGGTCAGCGTCAAGATGTTGGTATTTAGGGAATTTATCTCTAATTAAGTCTTCCAGCATACAGATTGAGAGTTTAACTATTTGTTAGCTCTTATTGTATAGTTAGCTTCTTGTAACTAACTTACATGAATGTTATAGGATCATAGAATAGTTAGGGTTGGAAAGGACCTTAAGATCATCAAGTTCCAACCCCCCTGCCATGGGCAGGGACACCTCACACTAAACCATATCACCCAAGGCCTCGTCCAACCTAGTCTTGAACACTGCCAGGGATGGAGCATTCACAACCTCCCTGGGCAACCCATTCCAGTGCCTCAGCACCCTAACAGGAAAGAATTTCCTCCTTATATCCAATCTAAACTTCCCCTGTTTAAGTTTTAACCCATTACCCCTTGTCCTATCACTACAGTCCCTAATGAAGAGTCCCTCCCCAGCATCCCTATAGGCCCCCTTCAGATACTGGAAGGCTGCTATGAGGTCTCCATGCAGCCTTCTCTTCTCCAGGCTGATCAGCCCCAACTTCCTCAGCCTATCGTCATACGGGAATTGATTGAGAGCTGTTAGTGTGGTGAACCTTAAGCAAGAAAGCAGAAAGCTTGGTATGGAAGTTGGAGGGCTTTATCTGTTTTGTTAGCTGGATGGAAATAGTATTTCGTCTTTGATATGAGGAAGTAACTGTTGTTTTTTCTTCTCAGTCTAGGTGGAGGGACCTTTCTTGGTCTGTGCAGTTTGTTGACAGGCTGTGAAAGTTTTGAAGAAGCTCTGGAAATGGCCTCCAAAGGAGACAGCACACATGCTGACAAACTTGTTCGAGATATTTATGGAGGAGACTATGAAAGATTTGGCTTGCCAGGGTGGGCTGTAGCATCCAGGTAAGCAAGAGACTTTTTTGTTGCTTCTTTTGCTGGTCTATGGGAGGCTTCAAAACCAAGACTTTAACTGTTAATACAAAGAAAATTGCTTTCAGCAAACCTCTCCTGTAGTTAAGCTAAATGTAGTTATCCTAAATGTATGTATCCTCAGTTTTCCACAAGATTTAAAGCCACGTGCAACCTGCTAGGTAGGTACTGAAGAAAGTGTATGAAGAGTGGATGTCATATACAGCTTCACATGAGTGAGAATGTGAAGTGATCACATATACAGCTTCATGTGAGAGAGAGTGTGAGGTGATCACAGGAGTGGCAAGACCAGACTGCAGAGGTGCCGTGGTTTAACCCAGCAGGGAGCTAAACAGTACATAGCCCCTTGCTCACCCCACCATCAACAGCAGGATGGGGGGAGAGTTGGGAGGGACATGGGTTGAGGTTTACAGGGCAGAAACAGAAGGGAAAATAATAGTAATGGTAATGATGAAAGAATTAGAACATACAAACGAAGTGATGCGCAATGCACTTGTTGACTACTCAAGATTTTTTTCCATGGGGGAAGGTTATTGGTGATGTTACAGCTTCTCTACCCTCAAGAAATGTAAGAAGAATAAACTTTGGGAGTGAAACTAATATATGCATAAGAGAGTTCATTAAATTTTTGCTTTTATTCAGTAATAAGAGGTCTTAATTCCCAGTAACTTAATTCTCCCTCTCCAGCCAGCTGAATCCAGGCCTGTTGAGAGAGCATATGATAAGAGGTCTTAATATATGCAGACTTCACACTTCTAGTCAGTACATCTTAACTTGCTCTGTATATAGGTACTTGTTATTCTTGTTTACTTTTAAAGACTCTTAAGATCTTTAATGACTTTTTGAGTTTTAGAATAGTCTGAATTCTAGTTCTCTGAACTGACTTAGGTATGGCACAGAGTCCTTAGTGGTAAAATACCAGGCATAGCTATGGATTCTTGTCATTATTGCTATATGTAAGAAATGATCTACCGAGTATAGTAATGAAAATTCCTTTCTCATCCAGAACTCTTCATTTGTACAACCGAAATTGCAGTCTGTCAGCTGTTTTATTTTCTGTTTGAGGTTTGTTTTTCTATCAATAGATATTGGATAGATACTGTGAGGAAGCAAGCATGAGGAGTTGGTTTCACCAGTTAGACTTAGACATTGACTTAATTTACAGGAACTAGATTTGGAGAGTAGTCTTGCTTAAGAATAAGACTGCCTTTGCTGTAGATGGCTCTTCGTGGAAGCAAAACAATCTAAACAGACATATTTTGTCAGGGGTCGTTATTGTAATAAGATTAACTGTTTCCTGTGAAGGAATAAACACGCATGTTGTAGTGGCATTTGTCAGATTGCTATATTTAATACAGGCTTAAAAAAGGAGCTACTTAAGAACAAACATGAGGCTTAAGTTCTGATATAGCATAAAAATTATACTCTGAACAAAGGCACATGAATCACTTTGTGCTTAATAGAAATTTTTCCTGTTCTAGTTTTGGGAATATGATCTACAAAGAGAAGAGAGAGTCTGTCAGCAAAGAAGATCTTGCAAGAGCCATACTGGTCACCATCACCAATAACATTGGGTCTATTGCCCGGATGTGTGCAGTAAATGAGGTAAAGCCTGACAAGGAAATGATCTGTCTATAGGTCTATTATTTGGTTTCAGATTAAGTTCCTTCTAAAATAATGTATCAAAGAACAAGGAATTGGTTCAGAATATTTTGATTGTCTTTGGAGAAGTGGAACAAGGATATCTAGGGGAAGCTGATAAGGAGGCCTTCAGATGAGCTTTGTTGGGAAATGGAGCCCGCAGCCTGCACATAAATGAGGGAGCAGGGGAGCACAGGGTATTGTGATGAAAGGCCTTGAAGTCTCCTTGCAAAAGCAGGATGATTATGGGCCCAGCTTACGTCTTTGTACACTGACATACGCAGCATGGGATACAGGAGGACCTCTAAGTCCTGGTTCTTATGAGGGACTATCAGGACTTCTACTGGAAGGTAATATGGCAGATCACAAGCAAGCCATACTTCTAGGTGTGCTGGGGATGCTTTTCTGACAGTGCTAGGCACACTGACCAGGCAAGCATGGTGCTGGACCTGCTGTTTGTGAGTGAAGAACTGGTCAAGGGTTTCAGTTACAGCCTTAAAATAGTGAGAGTTTAAAGTCTTGGGAAAAGTAAAGAAGACGAGCAGCAGAATGGAGACTCTAGATGGACTTGAGTAGAACAGGATGCTAGTTCTGGGGGAATTTTGGAAGCAAGATGTTGTGGGAGGTTTTCCTAATGTCATAAATTGCCCAGAATATCTCACTGATCTTCCAGGGTAGCATCCTCATAGCAAAAAGTGGTATACAGACTGGCTAGGGAGTAGTACTACAGAAGAGAGGAGTGTGCTGGCAGTTGAACTGGACATGAATCAGCATGGTGAAGGCTGACCTTTTACTGAGGTGCAAGGACATAGCCAGCAGGTCAGAGGAGGTGATACTTTGGGCATGACCTCTTTCTTTAGGAATACTCCTCTTTCTTTAGGAATAGAAGATATGGGTGTCTGAGCACCAGGGGTTTCCTCATTTGTTATCAAGAAACTGGATAAAGTGAGGCGTAGTAACAGCTTTCTTAGAGGAGACTGAGAGTAGCTGTACCTAGAGCTTTGCTTAAAACCTATGGACATGATAGTCTTGGAAATACCAGCTTGTCACCTGCAGTGACCCTCCTGTTGCTTAGGAGCAGACAAACTAATATCTTTTTCTGGATATACCATATACCCGTTCTCCCTCAGTTCCCTTCTCTGTCTTTCTCTCATGTTGGTCTTGGAGTATAAAGTTAATTTTGTGGTTTTTAAGTTAATTTTGGCTTTTTGGTTTATGGCAAATTTGATAACAATAGTTAAAATGAGGATGAAGTTGAAAGTACATACTAATAATCTGAGTCTGAAGCAAATGTAAGCAATGTATATTTAAGGGTGGGGGTAAAGCAGTACAAATCAGAACTCAAAAACTGCACAAAGCAGCTTATTTCAAGTTTTTTGGTCTAATTCCAACTATGTCACATAACTGCAGGGATACATAAACTTGTAGCTTGAACTGATGTATAAAGATAAAAAGCAATGAATTATTTCGGGTTCCTCCTGTAGAGCAGAATTATGTTTGGGTGCCTTAACAGTGTGTTTGCTTTGTCTTCACTGTGGACTATTGAAGATGGGGAAATACAAGTGCATGTTAGTCATTTGACTGCAGGCCTGCTAGTTTTTGTAACTTGGATATGAGCATTCATCTAACATTACTAAGTGCTTATTGAAGCACTAATACAATTAAATGTTTTGGTTCTTGCTCTCATAGCATTCAACCACTGTTTAATGTTGTTTCCACTTAATGTTGGATTTCTTTCTGTCAATGGGGAAAATTAAAAGTTTTTCATGTTTTTACATTTCACTTGATTGCAATTCACAGCTCACTTCTAGTGTTTAAGTCTTGGTCTAATGTTATGCTGAGGTAGATTGAGGTCTGAAGATGAAAGAAACATCTGTTATGTCTTACTGTCTTCGGCTTCTTTACAGTGCTGCCTTGTTGCATAAGGATCAAGCAGCATTGTACAGGGCTATGAAGGCATTGAGTCTCCTCTACTAAATACAAGTGCTTTTCATTCAATTTTACTTTTAGCTAGGCTGTTTCTTTGGCTTGATTACTGCAAATGCTCACGTAATTTGAAACACAAATGCTACTTCTCTGTAAACTAGGTCCTTCAGTTCTTGAGGGTTCCATGGTTTTTCGTTTTCCCCAAGTAATGGTGTGTTGTAAAGTCTGGAACTTTAATTGTGGGTTGTTTGGGTTTTTTATTTCCTTGCTGGAGACAGCCTGTTCTTTTGTAGCTTAGTTTTTCAAAGCTGTGTTAAACAGTGAAAAGACTTAATCCTTTGCTGTTACTCTTTTCAGAAAATCAACAGAGTTGTGTTTGTTGGCAATTTCTTACGTGTGAATACTTTGTCAATGAAGCTTCTTGCATATGCACTGGATTACTGGTCAAAAGGGCAGCTGAAGGCCTTGTTCCTAGAACATGAGGTAAGCTTTGGTTCATATATCTCCATGTATTGTGTCACCCAAAATGCATGTATTGAGTAGCTCTCATGACTGTAATGTCCTGACACACCAAGTTCTCAGTAAACACTGAAAGTCAGAGGAGGTTGCTCACGCTGTGCTGGTTCTGTGGGGACAGCGTGCTCTGCTAGAGAAGTACTCAAGTTGCTTTGTGGTATCTTGGTTCACACTATATATCTTCAGAGAAGGACAAGAAAATGCTGAGGTCTGTGTCAAGGTTCAACAGTCTTTCTTTGGTTTTGGGTTTTTATTTTCACATTGGAGAGAGATCTAAAACACGGGCCTTTTGAAATACTTCCATTGTTCTAAACTGAGCTTGAGCAACATCCCAAAAGTCAAGACTGCTTTTAACAAGGACTGCTTTCATACTGTCACTGATACACCTTGAAGTTGTTGTGATTTTAGGTTCTGAGAATAACCTGCTTTTGGGCATGTTAGTCTAGATCTAGTATCCGTATATAATGCATCTAGATCAGTATGTAATGCTGAGAGACTTGGCCTGTTTTGGTGAAAATATAGGGAACCAGCATTAATTGCAGGTGCAACAGTTGGGAGACTTGTAGTTTCTTGGCAGTGGGGTGGCAGGTTTTGTCCTCAGTTTGATGGTTTGCAAATATAACAGCAGTACATCTATTCCCCTTCAGTGGATTCTCACAACTGTTTTCCTTTCCTGCTTATTCTGAGGCTGAACAGTAATCTGTCTTGGCACTAGTGGCTGCAGTAATAGCTGAATAGTGCCTTGGTAGTTCTACCCCTTCAGATTTGTTTTGGGTAAATTTTAAATTCCTGCATTTGGTCAAGTGTAGATTCCAGACACCTAGGTATTTCATAGTTACAGAGACAGGAAACATCCTGCTTCCCAAGAGGGGGAAAGTAATTCCACAGGAGAACACGGTTCTTTATATGCAGGTTAAGCATACACCCCAAAAATAGTGCTGCAGTGTGGATGTAATACTTTACAAAAGACTTGCAGTGAAAGAAACATTTGACTTCTACCTTAGGAATAGTGCTGCTCCTGGGTATTGAAGATCCTTTGGCAACCAGAATAGGCACCTTCTCTAGGAAAACCAAACCAAAGTTTGTTTCTGTGCTTTAGGAGTCACTCATACATGTCTTAGAAGTTCTGCAGTGTATGGGGAGGCTTGGGGTAAAATCTTCTGAAGTTAAGCTAGAAAGGAAGGGTAAAATGTTCCACAAAGGTCTGCAAAATTGTTACGAAAGATAGCTGTTAAAAGTGTGTGGTGGCTTCCTGTAGCATTGGTCCATTGGCTGCTCTGTTGTCACTGAAGTGTGATTAGTGCAGAATTTACTTTAACCTGAAACCTTCTTCTGTTTGTTTTGAACAGGGATACTTCGGAGCTGTGGGTGCTCTTCTTGGGCTGCCAAATTTCAGTTGAGATACCAGATGTCACTACACTGAACTATTTTCCACCTGAATGGCACGTGTTTATGGCAATGGGAACTAAATCTGGGGAGGGGGGAATTAACTAGCAGATTTTCTGTAACTGCTTTTACGAAGTGATTAGCTACTGAATATTGCTATTATGAGGAAGAGGGTTTCACTCTGTTGGGCATTGAAAAGTGAATTGTTTGAGGATATCGTTTATGTTCTTTGGTACATGTAGCCAGTATTGAACTTTTAATATGCAATACATACTCTGAAAGCAAGCTTCCAGAAGAAGGAATGCCAAACCTTAAAGTGCTCAGCATGAAAATGTTGCAAGTTTACTCCTGAGGCTTTAGGCCCAACAGTTCTGTATATATTTTCTTTAGTTATACTATATTATGAGCACAATTTTCCATATGTACTTGCAGACAAAAGCCTTTAAAAACAATAAGGTACCATCCACAGGATGAGGAAGACATAGACAACTGCTTCCCCCAGTAAGAATAGTTATTTTTATGTGTAATGGGAATAATGGTTTCATTTCAGTGGGAAGAATGGAAACACAAAAAATCAGCCAAAGCAGCAGATTAAGCAGTTGATGTTTTGAAGGTTTTGTGAAGGTACTCGCTTGCCCTCTTCATTTCTTTGAAGATACAGCTGGTGTTTTGGGAAGATGCCCTCTGTCTGTGGTGTGATTTAGTCAAGAGTTTAATGATTAATGATGGCAGGTTTTGGGGTTGAGTTCTGAGTTTGGTTTTCTGGTTTTGGTGGGGCTTTTATGAGGACATGACTTGTAAAATGCCTTCTGGTGGGGTTTTTGGGTGTCTCATCAATTCTGACATCATGCATCATTATTTGTAAAGGTACCACAAAGCCTGAGAGAACTGGAGAAACCCATATAAAATAGACTACGTATGGGACCTTCTCATCCTGATGCTTTGGCTCATTTCTGTGGAGGTTTGGGAAATTTCTGCCCCATCCTACTAATTTGAAAATATTGTTTCTCCTTAATTTTAATCTAACCAGATACTGAAAATGAAAGGGTGTTAGCTTGCTTTTGGAGTTGGAAGGTTGGTTTTGATGGTGGAGAACAACATCAGAGTTTGTATTGCAGCACCAAACGGACCAATATTTAGTGCACTTGCGGTATGGAGCCATTCATCAAATTGTGGCCTTGGGATAAAATCTGTTCTCTGGAACTGATCTTTGGGGTTTTCTCTATACTTTTCCAGTTGTGATTATTGTGATAAGTTTAGTCCTGGAGCCAGGGCATGAGATCTGACACTTATAAGGATATTCTACAGTCATTAACTACATGACTCTGTGGACTGAAGAGCTCCCCAGTTTTTATGGTACCATTTTAATGTTGAATGTTTCCTCTAGGTGCATGAGGAGCAGTCATACTAGAACACATTCTTACCTTGAGGTTTAAGGTATTTTTAAAGCTGATTGCTCCAGTATTCCACAGCATGGCTGTGTTGTATTCACAGACCATCTACTTAGTGTGCTAGAAATCTCTTGTGTGCTGTTTTCAGTCTTCTCTTCCTTTGCTTAAAATTCAAAGCCCCATAACTAACAAGTTTATTATTTTTAGTTCTTTTCTGTGGTGCTTTAAGAGTACAGTAACTTAGGGTAGCCAGCTCATGAAACCCAATGCCAGTTGCAGATGCAGTTCCATTCAATGTTGCTTTTCCTTGTACTCATTCTACCTTTCCATTGTGCTTGCTTTTATGTTTCATTTTAGACTTTTAAAAACCAAATCACACTCACAGTTAAACTGGTCTAAAGCTGAATCAGAGCACTTCAAACAAGAAGCTAATATGGTTCTTATAGACGGTCTCTACATCTGCCATATACTGATCCTTTTAAGTTCCGATTGACTTTGGAAAGTCACCTGTATTTGGTTAGAAAATGCTGTAAAAACTTCATTTCCTGGGTGTTTTGACAGCTGCCTGAACATTTTGCAAACCACTTGCGTATTTTTTTTTTGCTAAGTGAGATACTTTCAGACACTACAGCTTGATTAGAAACAGTTCCTTCAGCCCATACTTATCACTACTTCTTGTTTTGTGATGCTGAAAGAGCTGCTCTTGAAGCAGTAGTTGAGCTTACTTGCATATTTAACCCGAAGCACATGCAGAAGATGGTAACATAGTGACCATGGTTAATTTAAACCATTTGAAGTTGATGTGGCCTAAGATACATTTTTTAAGTGAATTGTACAGAGTTAACAGAACAAATTAATGGAGTAATCCTTAAATAGCTGTACCATACAGAAACTACTGTGAGAATCAGAAAGCATGCCCTACCTCTGTTACTTCCCTTGAGCTTCTAAAAAAATTGGCTTGCTTTTACTAGTTTCATCATCACAATGGTTACTTCATCACAAGAGCAACCAGAGAAGTTGTCAAATCCTACTGTGAAGCCCAGGGTCCTGTATTTAAGCCACATCTTTGGATTTAATTTTCTCCTGATGTAGAGCTTGTTACTAGTGTCTCTAAAGATTGACTGTACCACCAGTAGAAATGCTAGGCATCACAGAGAGTTGCAAGACAAGCCTTAAAGTCTTTTTGTCTAAATTTTCTTCTAATAGATTGAAAAGGTTTGTTTCTTTTATACAAATCACTCAAGGAACTGGCTTTTTCCTGATCTCTGTTTTTACTTTCACCCTTGCCATTTCTTTTCCTCAAAGCTAACTGGTTGGAGCAGCTTTAGAGTGAATTGACTGAATGCGACGGGCTATAGTAGTGACCAGTTGAGGTTTTCTCAGGGCTACTGTTGTCTTTTCAAGTGGAACCACTTCTCTGGAGGAAAGTTGTGTGGTATTTCTTCCCAAGTACAACGTAAGGCTCACTGTGAATGCGTAATCCTTTTCAGCTCCATCAGTCATGTGAGTGCCTTTTCTTTTTCTAATGCAATGCCAATTTTGCTGGTACTAGTACTTTATTCATGAGCTTTCCTAACCAGTGTTGCTCACCAGAGAAATGGCAGGTGTTTGTTGGCCCTGGATGTGATCTCTTCAATCCAGTGTAGCTAGAGATGCCGGAAAAGCAGCATCAGCTTTCTACTTCCAGTCCCTGGAGCCCTTATCTTGGGTAATGCTTTTGCATTCTTTGGTTTCCCCACTCCAATTTGGTCTGTGTAAGTATTACACACAGGTTTATTGTATCAGTTTCTCCCTAAAACTGATGCAGGCTTTTAGTCAGGTAAATACAGATTATTTCTGGCCAAAGAAGTTCCATTTTAGATGAAGCTATTCCAAGTTGGTATGATTGTTAATCACTTGCACCTTTCTAGATCTCCTTGGGGTAACTGCAATTTGAACAAGAAGAGAACTTCTGCAGTACATTTTGAATACTTAGCAAGCTGGAATTCAGCATATCCTCAGCATTCTTTATTGAAGCTAGCAGAGGTTTTAGTCTAAACACTTCTTCATTCTTTTCAGTAAAACCTCAATAGATTTTACAGTTTGGAGAGAAGCAGTGCTTGATAAACTTTCTTCATCTCAGAGTTTGGTCAAGATTTTCAAGGGATATTCAGATGTGACCTGCCTTTTGAAGACCTTTCCCCTCTCCCTAGCGTTCTGCAAGCAAGCCCCTGTGGGATTCTGCCAACACCTCCATTCATGGTTTGAGAGTTAGAGCATGGAAAGTGTATGAGACCATGCTGTCCCACTTAGTTGCAGCCTGTACATTAAGAACAGAAGTTCTCTTCTGGCTTCTCATAATGGGTTAAATATTTCTTCAGTAGTACTGTGAGATTCCTACTTGTATTTGCGTTGTTGATAGTATATATGCAAGGTGATTATATTGCCTTTAAGGGTTGTAATGCTGACTCTTTGTCTATCCAGTATAGGTCTTCAGGAAACGCCTACTTCCAGAGAAGTTGCAATAACTTCTCATTTCTAAATGTTGCAGAATAACAGTCCAATTTTAACATTTGGAACTAACAGAAGTGTCTTTTATCTAGAGCAAATCTGTGCTTCTTAAAGACTAGATGGTATCTTTGGCATTCAGTTACTAACTTAGGTTAATGCCTGAATTTGCAGTCAACCTATTTTGAAATGTCCCTTTTGCTATTCACATGCTGGAAACTAGATAGTTATAGTCCTGAGGAAACAGGTTAGCAGAGGTGAAGGTCAGTGCAGTTCTGTTGAGCTGGTTGAAGTTGACTTTTTATCCTCAGTCCATTTACACACACAAGACTAGCTCTTAGTGTTTTCCTAGCAACAGGACTGTCTACATCCTTTATTTGGATTGTGTAGGCTTAAAACCCACGTAATATGTAAAAGTGAACAAAAATCTGTGGGTCAGATGAGAAGTCTTTGGCCAAGACCTGTAGGTCACATTGCAGAGCTGCGAACACACTTGCCACATCCAGTTCCTGATTTGGTTGTATTAACTTTTCCATTTCCCATTAACACACAGTGAGGGGGGCAGACTTAACACTTGTTGTGGATGAAATGGGTGATTAAGTCCTCAGACATGACCATGGGAGATCGAAAATATGCTTTAGCACAGTATAGAGGGAGAATTCCCTGCTTACATTCTTTAAGTTTTACTAATATAGTCCAAAATACATCACCAGTATTCTGTCATCTGTGATAAGATTACTAATTCTGGAAGTCTGCAATTAATTTGCTTAGTTTTTACTTCACACATGTAAAGCATATTAAATATTCTTAAAACCCCACTTTCTGAAAACATCTCAAAAGATGCTGTAATGTATTTGTAATTATTAATGGGCTAATGGAATATGTTTGAGTAGTATAGGTTTGCATAACTGAGTGCCAAATCCTGCTCACTTCAGTTACTTGGGTAGATGATTCTCTTCAGTGGGGACCGTTTTAAAATGATGAGCAGGATTTGGCCTCGAGTTCTTATGCCTGGGGAACACAGTCGTGCTACTTTGCATATTCCTGCTGGTGCTAAATCTTCTGTTAAAAATAAAAATTCTAAATAGAATTTGTAAATAAAATATTTATGGCCTGGTCGTTTTGACAGACTGAAATTTTATCATTTGCAAATACTTTCTTGGCCTTATTTCAAGTTTCCCTTTTGTCTTTTTATTTAGACTATATGGACTGTGTTTGTTAGTGTGGCAAGTCATTGGGAAGGTTGGCTTCCCATGCTGCTTTCTGTAACGTTCCCCTTGTGCATTAGGATACAGATGACTTTTCATTGCCAGATTACAGTGTTACCCTTCATCTTGGTTTGGTTTGGTAGCTGGTTGGACAAGTAGTGTCAAGTAGAACATGACTGGCATTTGTTCCCTGCTAAAACTTCCAAGTAAATCAGTCATTACTGGGGGAGGTTGTTAAAAATGCAAAAATACACATTGAAGATGATGTTTAAAGCTAGATGTGTTCATTAGTCTTGCCTGTAAAGCTGGAATATGGTGTGTCAGTTGCTGATCTTTGCTATGAATTGCATTTCACCATTCTTCTAGCATCAATTTAAGAACATTGTAAATAGAAGCTTTGGGAGGAGTTATTTTAGATTCAGATTGTGCATTGCAAAAGAATTGAGCTAAAAGCCTAGTGAATTAGAAATTTGAGACGTGAAATTGCCACATCTAGAAGATGAAAATTAGTGTGTTGGTGTGATAAGATTTATAGGGCTTTGATAATCCTCACTTTTTTACATTCCTGAGTTTTGGCATTAAACAAAGGAGTATTTAATTTTCCATCTGCTGTCTTGTCATATTCAGGCCTTGTCATCACCAGCTGATATCTTCAAATACTTTAGTGAGTTAGCAAAACGAAATGGGTAAGTTTAGAAATTGGAAACCCTGGTAGGATAAAGTTCTCTGAAGAGCCATTTGCTTAAGTTGCCTTATTCTATTACATTGCACTCATGTTATGTCTCCGCTTTCTTGTTTACTGTTCAGACACTGAAGATGTGATGTACAAATACTGTGCTACAAATTTGTATTCATAAATTACTGCTCAATACCGTTGTGTCACCTGTTAATACAGCTCTTGTAAATGATCCCTTTCTGCCATCTCGAATACAGCTCTTGTAAATGGTTTAAATTATTTTTCTTTTCTAGATTCTCATTACTGAATGTACAGATCAGATCCCTTTAATAATGTCACTGAGGAATTTGATTGGGGCCCAAATATGGCCAATGCTGTAATTCATCCCATCAAAACTGTAAATAATTCTTTACTGCTTGTTTGCATGGATGAAGTTTGGATTTCCTTTACTTTGTGATAACCCAACTCCTCTGTGATGGGCCTACTTTTTACTGTTTCTTTTTCTGGGTTTATTACCATTTGTTCTGTGTGAATGTTGAAAAGTACTTTTGTCTTTTCCTAATAAATAATTTGAGATTCTTCATTGTTTGCCTACATTCCTGGGGTGCAGGGCAGGGATTTCTGAGTGTGGTTTTCCTTTAGCATGATAAATTTCTGTGATACTTGATACTGGGAGTTATCCTGTGTAGTGGTTTGAACCCAGTCAGGCAACTCGTTCACTCACTCCCCTCCTTTCTTTCCCTCCCCCCTACTCCCGGAGGGATGGAGAGGAGAATCAAAAGAATGCAAATCCCACGGGCTGAGATAAGAACAGTTTAGTAACTAAGGTATAACACAAATCACTACTGCTACCACCAATAATAATAATGATAAAGGAAATAACAAGGGAAGAGAATACAACACCTCAGCACCAGCCAACCAATAACTTGCCCTACCCCACCGGACCAAGCACCGATCAATACCTCCTCCAACCCCGCACTCCACCAGCCCTTCTGGGTAACTCTCCGTTACATCCTGGGCATGACGTGCTGTGGTATGGAATACCTCTTTGGTCAGTTTGGGTCAGGTGTCCTGTCTCTGCTTCCTCCCAGCTTCCCCTCCTCCCTGGCAGAGCATGAGGCTCACAAAGTCCTTGGCCAAACCAAAACATCGCTATCAGCTCTGTTCCCAGGCCAGAAGTCAAAACACAGCACTGCACCAGCTACCAAGAAGGAGAAAAATGACTGCTACTGCTGAACCCAGGACATCCTGTAACATCTTACACTAAGGAAACATAACCGGTATAGTTTTCATGCAGTTTTCTTCCTCTCCTTTAGTAAAAGCCTGTACTTCATAGTTCTTAAATTGAAGCCCTGTTTTAAAAAACATCTGATACCCCAAGAAACAAGAGCATTGCAGTCTTGAAGAAGAAAGCATGCCATAAGCTTTTGCCTTCAAGTTACCTGGAGAGAAGTGCCAGTTCGTGCACACAGGTGGCAGTGATGGTTTCCTGTTGAATAAAGTACTTCATGTATCAGCTACATGTTATAGCTAAGCTGCAAGTACTCTTGTACTTGTTGGAATTGTACTTTGCTTATGTCTTGGAAAAGCCAAATTACATATTCCTGAAGTAGTTCTGACTGGATACCTAACGGGCAGGAAGTTGTCAGGAGTGAAGTCTGTGCCACAGCAGCGTGCTGGCGGTGCCGCTTGTGACACGCCTGCTGTGTGGGAGGCTGTTCTTCAGGGTTCACTCTACAGGTACTTTAGCCATCCAAACTAGATATTTGCTTTAAACTGCCACAAATGAACCTCTGGAAGTTCCATTCTGTGCTGTGAAGAAGAGCTCTGCACTGCAGTGAAATACAAGCTCCTTTACCAGTTTATGGCGTGTAGCTGGTTTGCATTTCAGCTGGGGTCCTTGCTGCTTCCTGGTGCAGCCTGTGCGCAAGCTCAGGGTCAGGGTAAGCTGTGTGAGCTTCACCGAGTTCTGTTTTGTCTGTGGGTCTGATTTTTAAAAGGAGTTTTTATGAAGTGACTTTCTCTTACTGCTAAGACAATTGAGCCAGCTGTATTTGAAGTGATACTGGGCTCAGAAACGCAAACCTCCAATAATCCTTGTCACTTCCCTCTTCTTACAACTGTAGATTAAAATGAAGTTTGGCTTTTGTCCCCTTGCTCTAAAGGCATTTCTGTCCATCAAGAGGTGTTCAGTAAGTACATCTACCTTCTGCCATTGCGGGCTGCAGCACGAAGGAGCAGGAGTGGTCACCATGTGCACAGCACGTGTGAGGTGGTGGCCTGCCTGCCCAGTCTGGAGGAGCAGAGCGGGCACCACTGCTGGGGACTCAGGAGCTCCCTGCTCTGTGTCCTCACACAGGATGGGGGAGATCTTCTATGCAACCTGTAAATACGTAGTTGAGAGAGTTACTTGGCGTCGGTGGCTCCTCATAACCTTGCAGGGGCAAATTCCCTCCGGGAGCCTGCAGTAACCCTGCAGCTAGCCCAAGGTCCTGGTGTGGGGCTGGAAGCTGGATGCACAAAGGGAAGTGGTGAGAGGAGCTCTGTTACAGCAGGATCGTAAGCACTTACAGAAGAAGCAACATCAGCTTCCTGTAGGTAAGAATTCCCAAGGACACAACGAAGCTCTTTGGTTCCTGAAAGTGCCATCCCAGGGAAGGACATGCAACTTGCATGTGGAAAGGAAGTGTGTGCACTGAGGTGTTTGAGGTCTCAGGAACATGCTTGAGTTGAGGAACTTGGCAGATTCCTCTCTGTGTGCACACTTTATCCTTTAAATCCTTTAGATCCTGGCTAAGCAGTGTTGACTGAGAGAAGCCTTTGGCCAGGGCTTGTTGAAGCATCGTGCATTGTTTAGGTAATTATAAAAGAGATTTACATACCTTTTTTTTTTCCCCTAAAGCAGCTTACATATTAGGCAATGATGAGGGGAAGTGTTTAGCAGTTTTGCATAATGAAAGCTAGGAAAAGAGATCCAAAATGACAGTGTATTTCAAGCAGTTGATGAAATACATTCCATCAGCTGAGGGGGAAGAGTGTGAGGATTGTTAGCCAAACTCCAGACCCTGCAAGCCTTGAAAGGTAAAGGGCCTGCAGCCTGTGTGATATTGAAGCAGAGTAATCACATAAGAAATTACTTGTGAATTGAATCTTGAGTTGTTTCTGTGATGCTTGTCACAGCCCTCTCAGTTTGGTTGTGCAGGTGATTTTCCATCTATGCTCTTGTCTACCTATTCACCTTTTGTCACCGATTTGACATCATCTCACAGTTAACGTTGAGCCAAAGGCCTTGCTTAAAGTCAGGATATAACATCTGCTGCTCCTCCATTAGCTACAGAGCCAGTCATCACAGAGGTGCTGGGTCTATCAGGCAGGATTTGCCCTTGGTAAAGCCATGCTGCTCTGTGTGCCTGGACGTGTCTCCCAGTAAGACTTGCTCTGGGCACTGGGGTGAGGCTGGCCAGCCCATAGGGTCCCACATACACCTTCCTGAGGATGAGCGTGGCATTTGCCTTTCTCCTGTCATTGGGAACCTTCCTTGGTGGTCATGACCTGCCAGTGCTTGGCTCCGTCCTTGCCCTCAGACAGAACCTTGCCTGGTCCCATGGCATCAGATGTGCTCAGCCACCCCCAATGCTAGCTGTCAGCTCCAGAACTGATGTCATCTGCAGCATTTGGCTGGTTTCAGTTTAAAGTCCCTTACCCCGTGTCTGTTGCGATTACTTTATTACAGCTAAGCACTTCACTTGAATTCCCCAGCAAGGTCCTGCCAGAGGCCACATGTCCCTAGCAGCGAGCTCAGGACACCAGGAACCATTCTGTGTTCTCATGGTGGGTAGGTAGGCCTCTTCCCAGCACAATCCCCAGCAGTCCTGTCACCTGCCTGTCTGAAACTTTTCTTATCATAAAGAACATTTTGTTTCATCATCTCAGTGCTGGTACACTGGAAAAGTGTAACATCTTCTAGGGGAAGATGAGAGGCTTTGCTCAGTTCTATGTTTCATTTTCATGCAGCTACAGTTCACGTAAGGAACACCCTGCAAGGGATGAATCTGATTTAAAATCTTAACCAAGACCTACAGGTTTATGGCTGGTTATTAGCCAGGAGATGAGGCTGCAGGCTGTGAGCAATACAGTGTTCTGAGGGACTGTACTGAGGGTGTGGAAGGTTGTGAGTCTTTCACAGCCCAGATGTGTCCAGAAATGCAAATTCTCGAGCTGTCCCTGATGTCATCTGCTCCTGCGCTTTTTATATCCCAGGCTTTGCTGCTGTTTGCTGTCTGTGGAAAGTTACTGACATCACTGGGTGGTCAACAATGCCGCTTCCCAGGAAATGTGTAGGATGTACAAGGGTTTACGTCAGCCATTTAAAACTGGGAGGAAAAGGCATTACTGCTGGAGGAAGACTTTCAGGTCACCACTGGAGAGCTGCAAGCGGGGCGTGAGGAATGTGAATTGTTCTGGAGCCAGCTCTAGGCTGGGGCTAACACCACCGACCTCCTCATGGATGCTCTGTTGCTACTTTCTACCAAGACCATTGCTGTTACTCATTTGTCGGCTGGTTAAGCAGAGACTCTGGTAAAGGATTTGCCTTTCACAGGAAGGCACGTTGCTGAGCTAATGATGTGCACAAACACCGCATGTGCTCTGACTGGAAAGGACAAGGGAGGGAAAGCCACAACCCAAGGAAAAAAAATTAAGTCACAAGAATCACAGAATGGCTGGAGATGGGAGAGCCCTCTGGAGATCAGCCGGTTCAACCCCTGCCAGGGCAGGGCACACAGGAACGTGTCCAGATGGGTTTGGGATGTCTCCATAGAGGGAGACTCCACAACGCCCCTGGGCAGCCTGTGCCAGGGCTCTGCCACCCTCAGTGGAAAGAAGTTCTTGCTCATGTTGAGGCGAAACTGGTTGTGGTTTAGTTCATAGCCACTGCTCTTCCTGTTGGCACTGGGCACCAATGAAGAGAGTCTGGCACCATCCTCCTGGCACCTGCCTTTGAGATACTGATCCCATTGATGGGATCCCCTCTCAGTCTGCTCTTCTGCAGACTGAACAGGCCCAGCTCCCACAGTCCCTCCTCATGAGATGCTCCAGACCCTTGATCAGCCTCATGGCTTCCACTGCCCCTCTCCAGTAGGTCCTTGTCTCTCTTGTGCTGAGGAGCCCAGCACTGGACACAGTGCCCCGATGTGACCTCACCAGGGTCGAGTGGAGGGGGACAATCACCCCCCTTGACCTGCTGCCACACTGCTCCCCATGCAGCCCAGGTCACTTCTCCCTCCTGGCTCAAGGGCACACTGCCAGCTCATGGTCGACTTATCCACCAATAGTAGATGGTCACTAAGGCTCTGTACTTTCTAAGTTGGCATCAGGCTAATTGCAAGTGTTCAACATCCAATAAGCTGGTCTCTTTTCTGGCCATTAAATGTATTTATTTTAAATTTGCAATTGATTAATCTGTCAGTTTGGGATATTTAATGGCAGGCAGGTTTTAGGAGAGCCCCTGTTCACCATCCTCTGGAAACCGGTCTGCCTGACATGACCTGCCTGCCCTCCCAGATCCATTCTCTCATGAATG